GATACTGTTTGGCATTTATAACAATGTGGTATCGTTATAGTCCAACTCTTGAATAGTGAATTAATTTTGTTCCAATTATAGCAGTGTGTGAAAATATTGACCTGACACCCAGAAAGATGCTTTTCTAAAAATGGATTTAACAACGTGAAAGCTATTATCCTCATGTAATAACATAAAACTGTTGCTTTACACTGTTAACTTACAATATAAATCCATTTTGTCAATGAAGTGGCTAGATCACACCAAAGTTACATTATAAGAGAAAGTGAAGTCTGTGACAGTTGAAAACAATTATGAAGTTTTTGTCAAATTGGAAAAAACATTTGAGAGACAAAAAAAGTGATAAAGAAGAAAATGAGACAAATTTTAAAAGCCAAAAAGAAGGAGCAAAGTGTAAAAAGGGAGCTCATGTGAATGAGACAGGATATACTGATAAGAAGGAAACATAGACAAAATAGTTAGACACATAGGAACAGAAAAATTTGACTAACTAGAGATGGATAGGTTTCATTACTGATAGCAGTAACCCAAGTACTTAAAAAGGTCTCCTAATCCAAGAATTTTTAAAAAATATCTTCCTCCTCTTAAATGGTCTGTTATATGATCAGTCAACCAGCACTATAAACAACAAAGCAACAGTTTTATGTTATTACATGAGGATAATAGCTTTCACGTTGTTAAATCCATTTTTAGAAAAGCATCTTTCTGGGTGTCAGGTCAATATTTTCACACACTGCTATAATTGGAACAAAATTAATTCACTATTCAAGAGTTGGACTATAACGATACCACATTGTTATAAATGCCAAACAGTATCTATTAGAGTGAGTCATTCCCCAGAAAAAATGGTGTACCAAACTTTAACTCTTACTAAGAATAATTCTCAAGATGCTTTGGAGAAGGTTTTCAAACAAATTGGATATTTTAGCTATCAGGAAACAGAATGCAGGCTGATGTTGTTGTACCTTGGGGCAGAAGAGGTGAAAGAGTGACAGTGACAAGTGGAGTCGTAGGGATCAGTGCTGGGGCCATAATTATTTATAACATATATCAATGACTTTAATGAGAAAAGTGAATATACTATAGCCAAGTTTGTGGATGACCTAAAAATAGGTGGGAAGACAATTGGTGAGGATGATTCAAAGAGTCTGCAGAAAGATATAGCCAGGTAAAGTGAAAGGGTAAAATCTTGTCAGACATAATATAATGTAGGAAAATGTGAAGTGATGCACTTTGCCAGAAAGGATAGAGGTGTTGAATATTACTTAAGTGGAGAAAGACTACAGAAAGCTGCAGAACAGAGGGATTTTTATACATAAATCACAGAAAGTTAGCATACAGGTTCAACAAATAATAGAGAAGGTAAATGGAATGGTTTTATTTCAAAGGGAATGGAGTATAAGAATAAAGAGATCTTGCTAAATCTACAAAAGACACTAGTTAAATCACAGCTGGAATACTGTGAACTGTTTTGGGTGCCTTATCTAAGGAAAGATATACTGGTATTAGGGACAGACCACAGAATATTCATGAGACTGATCCCAAGTACAGAGGGACTATCTTATGAGGAGAGGGCCTGTACTCATTGGAGTTTAGAAGAATGAGTGGCAACCTTATTGAAACATATAAAATTCTTAGGAGACCTGAGAGGGTAGATGCAGAAAGGTTGGTTCCTCTTGTTAGAGAGTACAAGATCAGAAGGCACAATATCAGAATAAGGGGTTGTCCATTTAAGACAGAGATGAGAAGGAATTTCTTCTTTCAGAGAATAGTGTATCCGGAGAGTTCTTTACTGCAGAAAGCTATCGAGGCTGGGTCATTAAATATATTCAAGGTTGTGGTATATTTTTAATCAGTAAAGGAATCAACAGTTCTGGGGAAAAGGTAGAAAAGTTGAGTTGCATATGATCATCTCAGCTGTGATCTCATTGAATGGTGGAACAGACTTAATGGGCTGAATAGCCTACTATTGCTCCTATATCTTATGGTCTTATGATTTAATTATAAAATGAAGAGGGGCCTGGATAGACTAGATGGGGATGATAATAGTTGAAGAGTAAAAAAATTCAGGGGAAATAGATTTAAATTATTTGTTGGAGGATTATAGGGGAGATAAGGAAATGATTTTGACCTTTTTAAGAAAAATGTATAACTCTACAGAGATGAGTGATGTAGCATAGTAAAAACAATGGCCAATGAGTTAATCAGGCCAAAGAAATTAGAGTATGAGAGAAAGCTAGCTAGAAAAAAAACAAAGAGCAAGAGTTTCTACAATTATTTGTCAAGTAAAAACAAAGTAAAGTGAATATTTTCTACAGAGTCAGAATGGGGAGTTAATTGTAGAAAATTAGGGAATAATGGATGAAATGAACAAATGTTTCATCACTATTGTCACTGTAGAGGACACAAAAACATTTCAGTAATAGCTGTAAATCAAGCATTGGTGGAAGGGAGAGGTATTTAGTGAAATTCCAATCACTAGGAAAAGTTGTACCAAGCAAACTATTGAGCTTTAGAATGACAAGACTCTTGTTCCAAATGTAGGTTCTTAACAGATGTGGCTAATGAGTTAACAGTCTAACATTTTCCAAAATTACCTCGAATTTGGTTGAGTTCCATCTGACTGAGAAGTGGTTATTCAAAAACGGAGGAAGTCAGAAAGCATCAAACTATAGGTCAGTTAGCTTGACTTCTGCCATGGACTGGTGTTAGCATCGATCATTTAAAGATTTTCTTGCTGTTCACTTAGTATAATCTGCAGAAAGGCTGCCAACATCATCAAAGACCCATTGCATCCTGGTAATGATTTCTTACAACCTCCTCTGTCAGGCAGAAGATACAGGAGCCTGAACACACACACAAACAGGTTCAGGAACAGCTTCTTCCCAGCCGTTATCAGACTGATGAATGGACTCCCTATCCTGAGATAATGCTGATCTTGCTAACATTGATCTCACCTAGCGCACACCCTGTGCAATGTAACCTGTATGCCTCTGTCTAAGTCTTTTTGATCTGTACATCCTTTGCTTACTATGATCTGCCCGTACCACTCGTAAACAAAGCTTTTCACTGTACTTCGGTACACACGACAATCAATCAATCAATCACCTAGTGTCATGTGACTTCAGACTTTGTCTGCCCCAGTCCAACACTGGCATCTTCACATGGTAACCAATTTAGGGGAGATCTTTGAAAAAGCAATCCATGTTGTAAATAAAATGCGTCTGTGCTGGACTTGGATTTCCATAAGACATTATATAAGGTACCACATGAAAGGCTACTGTAGAAAATAAAAGCTCTCTGTACAGGGGTTAATGTATTAGTATATGGCTGGCAGAAAACAGAGTATGCTTAAAGAGTCTTTGCCTGGTTGACTGTTTGTGACAAGTGGAAGCCTGCAGGGGTCTGTGCTGCACTTATAGCTTTTGATAAATTAAATCAATAACTTAGACGTGCGGACCAAAGACATGGTGTATAAACTTGCAGATGACACAAAGATATATAGGAAAGTACGTTGTGAAGAAGACATAAAGAATTTGCAGAAAAATATTAGCTTATTGAGTTAGTGTGCAAAAATCTGACAGGTGTAGTAACGTGTGGAAAAATGTGATGATTATTTTTAAAATTGAGAGTGGCTGTGGAAATCCAAAGTGTAGAGGGATCTAGGTGTTCTAACGTCTAAGTCACAAAAGGTTAGCATGCAGGTACAACATGCAATCAGGAAGCCTAATGAGAAGCTATCCTTTATTATAAAAGGAATTGTTAATAAAAAAATAAGAATGAAACCAAAACACTGCAAATGCTGGAAATCTGAAATTATCACAGAGAATGCTGATGAAACTCAGCAGATCTGGTAGCATCTGTGGAGAGAGAAACAGAGTTAACATTTTGAGTCTGTATATCTCTTTGTCTTTAAGTTCTGAAGAAGTTACACTGGACTTGAAACATTAACTCTATTTCTCATTCTCCACAGATGCTGTCAGGCCTATTGAGCTTCTCTAGTATTCTCTGTAACAATGATGTGCATTAGTTGTACAGGATGTTGGCAAATTCAAAATTCAAATACTGTGTGCAGTTTTGGTCTCTTTACTTAAGGAGGGACATAAGTGCATCGGAGGCAGTTCAGAGGAGATTTACTAGATTGATAACTGGAATGAATAGCTTGTCTAATGAAGTTGAAGAGGCTGGGCATGTTTGCAGTGAAGTCTGGAAGAGTGAGATGTGACTTGGTTTAAGTGTATAACAGCCCGAATAGTCTTCATAAAGTGGGCATGGAAAGGATCTTTCCTCTTATGGGTGATCCCAGAACCTGGGAGCACTGAGTTCTGAGGAAAGGTCACTGGACCCGAAACATTAACTCTGATGTTTTTCTTCACAGATGCTGCCAGACCTGCTGAACTTCTCCAGCAACGGCTGTTTTTGTAGCATTATTTTCAAATTACAGGTTGCCCTTTTAGGGCAGAATTGAGGGCAGTATTTTCTTCTCCGAAGTTTTTGTGACTTTGGAATTTCCTGCCTCAGAAGGTGGTGGAATAGGCTCATTGAATGTTTTTATGGCTGAATTATTTAACTCGTGTTAAGCAGGGCTCGCAGGGATAGTTGTGAATGTGAATGTTGAAACACAAACAGATGAGCCATGATCTTATCGAATGGAGAAGGCGGCTGAGGGACTAAATTACCTACTTCTCCTATTTTATATGTTTGCTGGACCCAGAGGGCGAGACGGTCTCAAAATGTGGACCTGCCTTCGATGCTCCATGCTCATAACACCTTCAATACCTCCGTAAACAATTCCCTTTCCGGATTCTCCCGCTCAACCCTCTCTGCAATGCACCAGCACCTCCACTCCCTCTCCTCATCACTCCCCCAGCTCAAGGCCTCCCTTTCTCAAACTTGCGGAGGGCCTCTACTCTTCTATATTCAACGCAGAATCCACACGCTCAACAAACGGCGTTTCTGCTTCATATTAGACATTGAAATCATAAGTTTGCAAGACTCACCTCTACTCTTCTCCAGTCGGATAACGCACCCACCATTCACAATCCGTGCCCTGTTTCCGACCACCTCCACGCCCCACACGCTGCCACCATTACACATGTGCAAACCTCATCCTGCATTGGGCCTCTCCAGACTGATGCCACTTCCGGTTCGGACACTGATTCCGGTTCTAGCCTGGCACCCGAGCCTCCGTGACCATCGACGTGGATCTACAGGAATTTATCTTCAACTTTCGTCTCTGTTCCGGATGACTCAACAAACCTTCCCCTGGATTTCGCCGACGAAAGGGCTGGGACCTGTCTCAACTTCTACCTCCACTCCGGACTCCGCCCACTTTCCAACCAACACATGGACCCCTATCCCCAGGGTCACTCCTGGGTCCTACTGCCTACCTGCAGCTCGATGGCACACCCCCACCCCCATCCAATCATCCGTCACACTCCTCAGAATGCTACCCTCCCATTCTTCTTTCCCTCCCACAATTACTCCCCCACCACACACCGCACCCAACCCTCACCCATCACATGCTATCACTCTTGCCCCCACCCTCCTTCAGCCTCATTGACACCCTCCAAAACTCCACCCCAAACATTGCCGCATATTCACCATCCCCCCTGATCTTGATCTGTCTGAGACCGAACGGTCTGTCGTCAGTAAAGGGCTCACGTTCATGCCCTTCTGCCCCCACCTCAACAAGTTCTGTGCCCTTCATGACATGAAACTCTTTGTCTGCTGTCTCTACCTCCATGCCTCCTTCTTCAATAGACTCCCAACCACCCTCCGGGGACCCTTTCTCCCACCTCCGACCTTCCTCCTCCTCTTGGACACCTCCTGCTGGCCTCTTACCCTCCCTGGACCTCTTCATTGCTAACTGTCAACACGACATCGACCACCTCAATTTCTCCATCCCCCCCTCACCCACTCCAACCTCTACCCCTCCGAATGTGCAGCGTTCCATTCTCTCTGCACCAATCCCCATTTCACTATCAAACCTGCTGACAAAGGCAGGGCGGTGGCAGTCTGGAGAATGGACCTCTGTGTCACGGAGGCCAAATGCCAACTCTCCAACATCGCGTCCTACCTCCCCTGTGACCATGACCCCACCTTGGCCCATCAAGCCACTGTCTCCAACATTGCCAATGACCTCATCGCTTCCAGTGACTTCCCTCCACCGCCTCCAGTCTTATAGTACCCCAGTCCCGCACTGCCCAGTTCTACCTGCTCCCCAAGATCCACAAGCCCAACCACGCCAGATGACCCATTGTCTCCACATGCTCCTGCCCCACCGAACTCATCTTTTCCTACCTTGATTCCATTATCTCCCCCTTGGTCCAGACACTCCCCACCTGCATCCGGGACACAAACCACACCCTCCACCTCTTCGGAAACTTCCAGTTCCCTGGCTGCCAGCGCTTCATCTTTACTATGGATGTGCAATCACTACACACGTCCATACCCCATAAGGATGGCCTACAGGCCCTCAGCATTTTTCCTCTCCAACGGATCCATCCAGTTTCCCCCCACCCCCAACAAATACCTTCCTCTGCCTCACCGAACTGGTCCTCATCATCAATAACTTTTCTTCCAATTCTTCCCCTTTCTCCAAATCTAGGACGTTGCCATAGGCACTCGCATGGACCCCTGCTACGCCTGCCTGTTTGTTGGTTATGTCAAACAATCCTTCTTCAGTACGTACACTGGTACTGTTCCCCAACTCTTCCGCTGTTACATTGATGACTGCATCGGTGCTGCATCCTGCACCAAGGCTGAACTGGAGCAGTTCATCAACTTCGCTAACAACTTCCACCCCACCCTAAAATTCACTTGGTATATTTAAGACACCTCCCTCCCGTTTCTTGACCTCTCCATTTCCATTTCTGGTGACAGTTTACGAACCGACATTTACTATAAACACACAGACTCCCATAGCTACCTAAACAACACCTCCTCCCATCCCGTTCTCTCACTTCCGTCTTCTCCATTGCATCAGCTCTGATGAGGAGACATTCCACTCCTAAGCATCCTGGATGTTCTCCTATTTCAAACAATGCTCTTTTCCCTCCTCTGTTATCCAGACAGTCCTCCACTGCACCTCCTCCATTGCCTGCTCCACAGCTCTTAATGATACCCCCCAAACATAATAAAGATAGGGTCACGTTCCACCCCACCAGCATCCACATTCCAAAGTATCATCCTCAATCACTTCCAACTCTAATTAGACCCCATCATCCGCAACATCTTCCACTCCCCACCCCTGTCTGCCTTCTGCAAGGACCATTCCCTTTGCCATTCCTTAGTGTGTGCCACACTCCCTACCAACCACTCCAACGCCCACTCCAATGTGTCTTACCTTCCTCTGTAACCATACAAGATGCAACATCTGCCCACACACCATCTCCCTTACCTCCATCCAGGGCCCTAAACAGGTGAGACAGAGCTTCATCTGCATCTCTCCAACCTAGTCTATTGCATCCAGTGCTCCAGATGTGATCTCCTCTCCATTGGTGAGACCAAACGTAGACAAGGTGACTGTTTCACCAAGCATCTTCGCCTGGTCCATGACATCCAGCCTATCCTCCTGGTCACCGCCCATTTCAATGCCCCCACTCCCACTCTCTCCCTCTGCCATGTCAGTCCTCGGCCTCCTTTAGTGTCGCAGTGACTCAATGCAAATTTGAAGAACAACACCTGATCTTCTGCCTGGTCACCCTACAGCCTCGCGGACTCAACATTGAGTTTTCCAATTTCAAATAACCTTCCCACCCATCCCCAGCTCTCTTTCCAGTCCAACCTGCTCCCTTTGATTCCACCTTCTGACCCTCCCTTCCAGCCACTAACAGGATTCAGCCCTCCCATCGACCAACCTGGTTGTATCTACTACCGGCGTCCACCTATCACCACCATACCGCTACAGCCCCCTTTATTTGGACCTCCTCCTACCCCCACATCCAGTCCTGAAGAATGGTAATACCTGAAAAGTTGACTTCTCCTTTCCTCCAGATGCTGCCTGGCTTGGTGTGTTCTTCCAGTCTCCTGTTTGTCTACCACGTCTAGCTAGGTTCTACAGGTCTGCCTGAAGGGTGATGCAGAAAATCTCTCCACATTTAAAAGCTATTTGGATGCCTGCTTGAAGACCTGTTACCTACAGGTACAGGAAGGTGGTGTTAGGCTGGGCAGCTCTTAGTTAAACAGCCTGAAGCTCCTTCTGTTTCATAAAGTTTAAATGATTTCTCTGAAAATTTGACATCAAGCCACATGAGCTAATACAAAGGACAGATGGCCAAAAGCATACTCAAGGATTCTGCCAAGTGCCTTAAAAGAAGAGGGAGAGGTGGAGAGGTTTGGTGAAGGAATTTCAGAGCTTATGGACTGGACAAATAAACGAATGTCTGTTTCTGGTGGAGTGATTGAATCTTGAGAATTGGAAAATTGAGGCATTGCTTAGCTGGGATCCAGTATAGGTTAGGTTAGCAACCCAAAGGATGATGGGTGAACAGGTCTTGGAGTGACTTAAGACTTAGGCATTGGAACTTTGGATGACCTTAAGTTTATGGAAGATGGAGAAGGAATGTGTAAGAATAGTCAAGTTTCATAGTTCATGGAATCCCTACAGTGTGGAAGCAAGCCCTTCAGAGCATCCCCCCCAGACCCATCCCCCTATAACCCACCTAATCCACTCATCTCTGAACACTATGGGCAATTTATCATGGCCAATCCACCCAGCCTATACATCTTTGGACTGTGGGAGGAAACCCACACAGACACGGGGAAAATGTACAAACTCCACACAGACAGTTGCTGAGGGTGGAATTGAACCCAGGCCCCTGGTGCTGTGAGGCAGCAATGCCAACCATTGCACCACCCCTTTTACACACTACAGTCCTCTGTCCCACCAGCTGAGCTATCAAAGGAGCGTCTCGGTGTAACAAAGACGTGGACGAGGGTTTCAGCTACAGATGAACCAGGGCAGTTCTGGAGACATGCTATATTAAAAAGATGGAAATAGTCTATTGTGGTTATGTTTATCTCAGAGTTTCAAACGTAACATTTATTTTGATCAATTTTAAGGGTGTCCTGCCTTGGCAGTTTACCATGATTTGTCAATAAATGTTCTGCATGAATTAGATCAAATCTGTGGAACTGTAAAGATGTTGACTTGGCAAAGAGAATGAACTCAATGATGGCCAAGAGATCTTAACTGATTGTTATTGGGAAAGTGCCGAGTGGAAAAAGAACCTTGCTTTTGAAATCAAGTTTGATCTCATAAGTTTTCTGCTGTAAAAGAGACATTTATGGTTTTTGCAATCTCCTTGTTTAATTTTACAAAACTATCATACAGTCCCCTGAGTTTCATGGTAATGAATAAGTGAAAGGATTGATTCTGTTGCTGCTACTGAATGAAGTGTGTGAACAATAAGTTGTTCTTTCCCCTTCTGTAGCAGAATAGTAAGAATTGATTGAAGATGTTGTTGAGGCTTTTGAGAAAGGTACAAAGACAAATTACTTTATTGTTCCCTTCACTTGCACTCCACTTTAAACCATCACAGTTGATGTTCCTGTTATTTATTTTTCTTACATTGTTATTAGGTTTCACAGTGCTAAGTTCTGCCTTGATCATCTGTTAAAAGACACAGCAGCGATTTACTGTTTAACATGACCCCTTGTGATTTGGATTGACCAAAATTTGACTCAGTTGGAAGGTTGTGAGCTCAAGCCCCCTTTCAGAATATGAGTGTGTAGTTGGAGATGATTCTCCAGTGCAGTACTGAAGGAGTGTTGCATTTTTAAAACTGGCTTTCAGATTAACCATTTAACTTGAGCTCTGTCCACAGCTTTAAATGGATGTAAAAGATCCCATGGCACTACTTGAGGGAGGGTGGAGAGCTTTCCTGGGGTCCTTGCCAGCAGTGAGCACTCAACCACCACCACTAAAATGATTAACCAGCCACTTAGTTCATCAAAATTGACACAAAACGAGTTTGTGACCACATTTCAAAAGTAGTTCACTGGTTGTGAAGTGCTTTGGGATGTCCATGTGAAATGTAGTACCTAATGCAAGTTCTTTCCTTTTCTCTTTTAATTCTCTGCATGCTCTCTGCTTGGCAATTATTTTGGATATGCTGAATGGATTCATAGGCACGAATCAATGGCAGGATATGTTCATGCACCAGAACACAGCACTTCATAAATCTATCGACCCTTGTTTTTACATTGCCATGTGGAATCCACCAGTGATTTGTGCTGGAACCTCTTGTTTTACATTTTCATAAATAATCTAGACAAAAACACAATGAAATGATTCTGAAGCTAACTGTGGATATCAAATTAGGGAACGTGCAA